GTAGGCACCTGGTTTGGAAAAGCAGCTATAGCAATATCCACCTGGAATCCTGTTGGAAATCTGATAATGCGAGAACAACTTGAATTGAATGCCCTGGCTATTGAACGCCTCGGCAACCAAACAAGCAAGGGACTAAAACTACTATCAGATAAAATTGGAGAAATACATGTGTATGTTATGCAAAATAGATTAGCTTTTGATTACTTGTTAGCAAAAGAAAATGGTTTTTGTAGTTGGTTAGATGAGTCACAATATGGTTCTTGATAATGCGAGAACAACTTGAATTGAATGCCCTGGCTATTGAACGCCTCGGCAACCAAACAAGCAAGGGACTAAAACTACTATCAGATAAAATTGGAGAAATACATGTGTATGTTATGCAAAATAGATTAGCTTTTGATTACTTGTTAGCAAAAGAAAATGGTTTTTGTAGTTGGTTAGATGAGTCACAATATGGTTCTATGTTTAAAGATAAATGTTGTATGGAAATTAAGTCAATTGAACAAAATGTAAGTGATGTAATTGAGAATATTGAGCAAATTGTAACAGATGTCAGGAATTGTGCACCTTTTTTAGACTGGAATGGCTAGCCTCATGGTTTGGTTTAGGATGTTACAAAGAACTTTTTGTTTCTATTTTCATCACATTCATAACATGTATTGTTTGTCTTGTTCTAGGATGCGCTGTTTTAAAAGCCTGTACAAAACGCATTGTTGTGCAAGTGCTTCTCGTTGAAAGAAAATCTTTACTTGGCGCCGATAAAGGCGTTGAGGACAAGGAGGAGGTATAATCAGTGGCGTTTGGGCCGCTCGGCCATGGCCACGGGGGCATGTTGCAAAGCAGGCTTTTTCTGTCCATGGCCTTCGCGTATAGCCCATCCTGCCACACAAGGCCCCTCACACAAAACCCAGATACTCAGAGGAGCATGGGCAGCACAATGCAGTTTTGTGAATGGAATTTGATCTTATAGGCATTCTGGGACTCTCAGGCGCCAAAAAAATAGGGAGGTGAGCATGACTAGATAGTGCTTACAGATAAGCCTCATTTGACCGTAGCTTGACCAGTCTTAGGGGCAAGGGAAAAAGTAAACATAGGGTAATAAAACATAATTGTCTAACACTAACTATGCCCCATCTGGTCCTGTCCACGAGGGGATCACGCATACATCACGAAAATTTCTATAGGGCAGTATTGTCATACTACCTCATCACTAGCCTATCAGGCCCTGCCAAATGCAGACCCTAGCATGGTACAGACACCGAAGTTTTGTATAAAAGACCCTCAATCCCTTTGTTCGACGGAGGTTCTGTGTATTGAGGGCACATGTCTTTTTTTTGCCCGGCTAAAGGATTGATCACCCTGAGGCTGCCTCCCCACCCTTCGAATCAAACATAGGGGTGCACGAGTCCTGAGTATGCTCCGAGTTCTAGTGTGTCTTTATGTTGTTATCGTTTCTGGATTTGTAAGTATTGCTTAAATTTATTAATTGGTGGTTTAGTTAATAGTTAAGTTGTATTAATTATATCCTATAATCCTGTGAAGTATAAGTAAGTCATATTAATTGTATTGTATAGATAGTGTGATTTTGTGCTATGTGAAAGGGTTAAGCTTTAGCCCAGGTATTAGTGTTAGAAGAAAAACCTTTGAGTTGTCAACTTGTAACAGTAAAAAATCAATGACTAACTCCACCAGCTGTCCTAAAGTGACATTGGAGGGATTGCTGTGGGTGGTTCTTTTATTATCATTATTTTGGCTTTGTTTTTTGTATTTTCCATTTGTATGAAATTAGGGATAGTGATTTGATATAAGTGAATTGTAATCAAAGAATTGTAATCAGTTGGGTATAATTGTGCCCAAGCTTTTCTACGCAGTAAAAGTACTAAGCAATTGCTAGTTTAAACACCTACTTGTTAATTGCTGGTTTTGACCACTTAATAAAAATCATTTGTTTCACCATCAACTAGTAGTTTTCACTGGATAGTCGGCTTTAACCCTTGAGGCTCACATCACATCACCAAACCAAGGTGTAACAGTAACCTGTTTAATTTTGTTCCAGCACTGAAACTTACTTCCCTGTGGTCCTCACTCCAAAGAGCCAATAAGTCCGTTTTACTTAAAAAATCAGTGTTAAATCAGTTTGAGGGTCAAATCTGAATACTATCTGATTCAACAAAAGTCAGCTGCCCTAGGTCAGAAGCTTTTATTTAACAAAA